ATACATAACTAAAAGAATCAAGGAAACAGTTAAAATGTTTATTAACGATAGTCCGAAGACTATAAACCACAAACGAAATATAAACCTTATTTCTTTGGCGTACATGGGGCTACTCACTCATTAACCAAAATAACAATAGGCTTGACTCTGAGAAAAAACAGAGAAGCACTGTGCAGTAACATGCTAAATCAGCTTGACTCTGACTTTATGAGAAGTAAGCTTGACTCGGTAGACCCTGGAGAAGCAACGTGACTCGAAAAATCAGAGAAGCTATGATAATGGTAATATTCAGCTTGACATGGAATCTGTGAGAAATCACTTGACTCAGAAGATTGAGCTCTTGCTTATTGAAATGTTTGTATTGCTACTAATTTTTACTAACGATTATATTGGTACAAATGTATATAGGTGTTAATGAAAATAATATAATACATATCACTTATGTTATTAAACAATAAAATGATAAAATGTATTGTTATAGATGTTCAGTTGCTCACTTTATCTTGCTTTACTGTTCAGGGTTCTCAGTCAGGACACACAAAGTGGTAGGACTACAGGAGTACAGAACTTACACGTTCAATCTGACAGCTTCTACTGTAAAGGGGACGGCTCTATTTCAACAGACACTGCCATCTGCAAAAACACTTGCTGCAGGTAATTGCTATTTACAATTATTATATGAATTATTCACATTTTAATGGGAGCTTTTATACTACCAAGTTCTTTCTTAATTTGGATATATCTTGAACAAATCCAGCCAGAATAAAAATAAGTCTATTAAAATGGTAATGAATCTATGCTTGTACTTAGCTATTTGTTTTTCTAAGCAGTACGAGAAAATTGCTCTGTTTAACCTTTTGGACCTAACAGCTCCAGGTGCAGTGAGTAACTTTACGGTAGCTCGCCCCAATGGACCGGATTACACAACTATGAGGGTATCCTGGGAACTACCATTGGTATTGGAGAGAAACAGTGACATCGTTAAGTTCATGTTCACACACAACACTACTGGAGGGGTAAGCTTATGTCACAGAAAGAGACCAGTGTTCTTCCTCAATGGACCGAACCAGAAAACCTACGGCTTTCCAGCCTGCCATTCTATATACTCAACGATTGAGCTAATGAAAATGTCCTCTTTGGTGCTAGAGAGCTACCAAAATTATATGACATGATTGTAGAATTTAAATCTGATACACTTGTATACATAACTCTGAAGGCATGTACATAACTCTGAAGGCATAAAATGTTTGTATGGTATATATAAAACACTACGAAAAGGGTTCGCTTGTATACAGAACACTAATAAGCGGTACGCTTGTGAACAGAACACTAAAAAGGGGTGCGCTTGTAAACAGATCACTCAGAAGGGGTACGCTTGTATACAGAACACTAAGAAGGGGTGCGCTTGTATACAGAACACTAAGAAGGGGTACACTTGTGTACAGATCACTCAGAAGGGGTGTGCTTGTATACAGAACACTAAGAAGGGGTGCGCTTGTATACAGAACACTAAGAAGGGGTAAGCTTGTATACAGATCACTAAGAAGGGGTGCGCTGGTATACAGAACACTAAGAAGGGGTACGATTGTATACAGAACACTAAGAAGGGGTAAGCTTGTATACAGATCACTAAGAAGGGGTGCGCTGGTATACAGAACACTAAGAAGGGGTACGATTGTATACAGAACACTAAGAAGGGGTAAGCTTGTATACAGATCACTAAGAAGGGGTGCGCTTGTATACAGCACACTAAGAAGGGATGCGCTTGTATACAGAACACTAAAAAGGGGTGCGCTTGAC